AAGAGTTCAGGGTATTCATTATCATTTTGCCCAGCTGGCGAGCGACTGCTTTGAATGTGGTAAACACATATTTTGTTTTAGGCAGCGAAAGAAAGGATTGAGCGTCAGGTTCAAGAAGTGACGTCAAGAGAAAAGAATGAGAGCAAGGTTGAAGAAGTAACGGCAACAGAAAAGAACGAGAGTAAGATTCAAGAAATAACGGAAGCCGAAGCCGAAGAATTTGAGAAACTACAGTATGATTGAGCTGTTTCTTCACAGAAATGTTTTCAGAGCTCAAAACCATGAATATTGCAGCGGTGAAAAACGAGTTGTGAATGAACCAGAAAAGAACGAAGAGAAGAAAACCGACGACAAAGAGCCATCTGGTAGTAAGGATAAAGTAGATGATGAGGATGAAGGAGTGGGTCTAATGCCAAATTCTGGAAATGGTGGAGACTATGAAAATTACCAGTGGTTTCAAACGTTGCAAGAGGTTGAGGTAATACTATTTTCAGTTGGGCTCTAGTTGACAAATTTGCTGCCTGTATCAATTATTTCAACGAGGAAAAATATTTGAGGTGCGAGTGCCGTTCAAAGTTGGATTTCCACTCAAATCGCGTGACATTGAAGTAAAGGTCGATAAGCAGCACCTTCGTGTTGGTTTGAAAGGCCATGCTCCAGTTATCGATGGTACTCTGTATGCTAAAGTAGGTTTTCTTTCTAGCCTTCCCTTTTTATATGACCTTGATACTTCTGTGACAGTTCCTCTTTTCAGGTCAAACCAGACTCGTCGTCTTGGGTACTTGAAGACAGGAAAGCTGTTATGATCACTTTTGAAAAGGTGAGTTCTGCATGTAAAGGGATGAATTGTTCGCCGTTGACCGATTCCTTCATTGGGTCCGACAGGCCTGTACCAGTTAGAATCATAGTGGTATATTTATTGTGATGAGGTCTAAACTATGACTAGCAGGGGTCAGCCGATGTAGAAGTCACTGTTCTTGTCCTTCCAAACGTATCTGGTACCCGTTTCCCGTCGGAGAGCGGAAGCTTTGGTTGGTCTGAGCAGGAGCCGATTCTGGTTTTGACTCCCAAACAGCGCGCGTGACGTGCGTGCCGCTTGCAATTACACCACCTCCGTCTCTAGCACCAGCTCGCCATGAAATAAAGAAAATATCTAAAACATATGCATAAGTTACATAAGTTCCAGATATTTTCTTTGTTTCATGGAGAGCTGGTGTAGTGCCATAGTGGTCACCGACCAAACGCGTGATTCGGAGCTCAAAACCCGGGCTATGCAATCCTTTTCTATCCGGAGAGCACGCGTTTTGATCAGACAATCTGATATCGATCGGCACTGGCGCTAGCGCTTCGGCAGTGTATCAGATTCTGCTAACGCAGCGCTGGCCCTCCTTTCATCCTATACTCTTTCAAAACACCAATGACCAAGGCTGAGCGTTTCCCGTCTGAGGCTGTTTCCTTCGCGTCCGAGGCTGTTTCCTTCGCGTCCACGGGCATGGAGCGGTGTTGCAAACGCAGGGCGTCTACGCGCCTTACAGCGCGTTGGGACGGGCGCGTCATCGCGTTAAGTCTGAAGGCTGCCTAAAAAGAAATTAATCAGCGGTGGGAATATTTATTTATACTGTGGAGCGATCAAAGGAGCGAGTAAAGGATGCTAACTTGGCTGAAGGGGAGGCAGCTTGGCGTCTTCTGCTCTACCAGACTAGATCGCTGTGACTGTCGTCGTCACGCTCTGCTCAAGCCTAACGTCGCTACGGGGAAGCGCGTGGAAGCGGCTTGCTTCTTTCCCCTCCACCTAACTACTTTTTCACCGAGAAAAGTTGTTTCGAGCAAGATTACGGTTGTTCTGAACTGTACTTTTAAAGTCTGTACTGAATTCGTTCAGATGGATCAAATGTCTTGGTGGGCGTGTCTTGTGGAAGGTGATCCGATAATAAATACAAGGAAAGTCGTACCTGAGAATTCGAAATTGTCAGATTTAGACGGTGAAACCAGGCAAATGGTCAGTTTGCATCTAGTTTCTTTTTAACTTCATTCCAGTGATATCCAGAACTTACAACATTACTTGGGACTACACTTCAACTGCTTAATGGGATGAAGCTGCTAAGTTCAGGTCGAAAAAATGATGTACGATCAACGCCAGAAGGAACTAGGGCTTCCAACGAGCGAGGAGAAGAAAAAGCAGGACATCATGAAGAAGTCAGTGAGCATTTTTTCAGAGAAACGCTCATTTGCTTTGAAATACGAATTGATTTCAGGTTCATGGAACAACATCCGGAGATGGATTTTTCGAATGCAAGATTTGCCTAAATTTCTATATATTGCATGTTCTTAATATTATTTTGAAAGTCGAAAAGTTCCGAAAAATGTTTATTTTCTCGAGATATATGTGTAACAGAATAGTTTTTTTTTCTGAAAACGTACTGGTTCAGCAGCTGCCCATTCATGCAGCCAGGTATGGGTATGAGAGGAAACTGAAAAGTATCTGAGCCAAGCCGAAATTCCACTTTGTCATTTTTATTAAGACGAGTATTGCTTCATTGATTTATTTCTTGGAGAGTTGAATTTAAGTAGGCTTTTGTGATTATTTGTTCCTATCCGTATGTCTCGAGCCATGCAATCCATTTTACCCCTGTGATTTTCGCTTGTCGTTTTGTTGTCTTTTTTGTTGATTTATAAAAGTCTTCTTCAAGAACTGTGTGATACAAAACTTCAGTGGATTGACCCACACAGGGTGAGTTCGAGAAGACTGTCCCTGCATGTTTTTTTTTGAGGAGCATCGGGTGAACCATAACATTCAAACATGCAGGAGCAACTTGCTCATGTTCTAAAAAAGTGAGGCGTTGATGGCCCGTCGACAGTTTTTCCTTCTCACTATCAAAGGCCAAGGCGATGAAAAAGTGGCACGCTTCTGTTCAAAGGCAATATGTATCCTTAGCAATGTTGAATAGGTTATAAGTTGCTGGAGAACTCATTACCAACTGAAGGTCTTACAGTTAGGGGTTCAGACTATCAGGTATTTCCAAAAGGTGAAAAAGAATTTTGGTGACGAGCGATGGGATCTTTCACCGTATCCGTGTCTGACTTAATGGTGCATCAGTTAGTGGGCGTGGTTCTCGAATTTGTACCTCTTCGAATTATCCAGCGTAAGAACAGTGTCCTTTAAAGGCATATAGCATGATAATTTAAACTTGGTCTGAATGCTAGCAGAGTGCTGTATTGTGGGGGAAACGGCGAAAAAAGGAAGCGAAATGGTCACAAACCTCCGAAAAAACCTTCGTTCTTAATGACTCGAAAAAGCGATTTCGGACGAGTTTCCCCAAAGGCATCTTGCCAATAACTGATACGGTAGATACGGCTGCACGTATGTACTCATACAGGGGGACAATAAAAGCCACTTTTACTCCTTGACTTTCAAGGCGCTATAAGTTACACTTTATTAAATTCTGATTGGACATTTCCACCACCATATTCAACAGCATATTGTATACTATCATGATACTCCGCCACAGCCTTCTGGAGGAGCGCCATCGAGAGATTCTGCCACGCGACCGTGATTCGGTGCCTGAGTTCAGCGAGATCGTTGATTTCTCCGCCACTGTAGACCATGAGCTCCGCCCGAACCGGGTAATTGAGGGGGTTTAGGTCAGGTGACCTACTTGGATATTCCATCTTCTTCAGGTACTCAACGCCCTTCCATTCCAAGTAGGCGAGAGTTTTTCCAACGCCCTTCGATTCCATGTGGAGGCACCCAATCCTGTAGCAGTACGAAGTTTCCAAGAAGGTACAGGCGATGACATGAAGGCAGGATATTCTCCGAGTTGGTCGATGTATCGTCAGCGTTCACCTTCAGTCCGGGGTCCACGAAGAAAATATCGGTCTTCCCATTCCAGGTACTTCCGGTCCATACCATCAACCCGCGCCTTGGCGACTGCGGTGAAGATGATATCCTGGACCGTAGTCGGAGCTGCTCGATGTTGGAGGTCTTCCAGATCAAGAGTACTGGTCTCCAGGTAGCTATCCATGGGTGACATTCAAGAAGTTTCGCAGCTGTTTGGAGGTGACATGAATTCCATAAGGCCTTCTCCAGTCAGGTTGCGATTGGAGATGACTTCATACTTTGATTTAAGGTGAAGGTGATGGGCGAACGCCTGCTCCAGCTTATTGAGGAATACCTTCGGTATCTTCCGCCCTGGTACTCGTATCCACGTTCTCTGTCTGGGCTGCGAAAACTTTGCTGATATGTGACTCTGCCGAAGGGCTAATGCCGTTTGGACTCCAGCAATTTCGGCACCGAGCTCATTTTCAAATTTCCTAAGTCACCAAATCCGCTGAAAACTTGTATATAGGGGTAGTTTAACATCCTGATTACGAATATGACATTCACTCCTGTTGCTGGCGCCAATGGATGACGCTACGATTATCTGCGCTCTGCTAAGGCTGAGCCCAGGAGGTAATCGTAGTATCATCTCTTGGCGCCAGCGCCAAGAATGAGTGTCATAATCGTAAACAGGATGCTAAATTACGCTTGTGTACATGTTCTCAGCGGGTTTGGTGGCTTACAACTAGGCAGTTTAAAAATGAGCTCGGTGCCGAAATTGCTGGAGTCCAAATGGCATTAGCCCTGCCGAAGTGTCTTTTTTGTCCTCCTACTCTGTATATGTATGCAGCACCGCGGCCGCTTCACATCAATTGCCTTTGGCTATGAAGGTTATATACCTTTATGACGAGACGGGGTGGTCTCGTTGTAGTTGCGATGGAATACAATGTAGTTGAGACGGGGTGTCTCTAGGTAGTCCGAGACGGGGTGGTCTCTGGTTGCCGGGATGTGGACATGGTAGAATGCTAACTTAATCTAGGCGTGCCTCTCAATACAAGAGAGGTCACGCATCGAGTATCTAACTATTTACCTATGGGTCATAATCACATGTCTCAATGTTCCCTATGGGTTATACATATCAATCACTCAGTCTTAAAAGGATGCACCGGTAGGTTCTGGTGACAATCCAGAACACTCCGCGGGGCAAAAAGGGGGCAAAACCATCAACACAGGACAGTAAAGTGAGGCCCTATAATAACAGAAGAACAAAGGAAGTAGGTATGGGTGGGCGGTGATGGCTGTTGCTGTAGAAAGTGGTCGTCTTGGGTGCGTCGGCTGGCTATCGGTCGAGCTCGTCAGTGGGTTTCGCTGCGGTGGAGCTTCGGTGGCAGTACCAAAGTTGACGAGTTGGCAGTGAAAATATATTGTTTTAAGAATGGCAAATAACACACAGAAATACGATTTTTTATAGATTGGTGTATAATGATATGTTGACTAAAGGAAAGTTTATCTTTCCGGGGGAAGCCGGTCGCTAAAGACGAAACGGGAGCGCACTGTTTCCCTGATCATTCGCTGAAGTATGGAAAGAGAATCCGCAACTATTGTAGCTCTACGCTTGGGGCATAAATCGGCGGAATTTTGTCGGAACTGATATCGATTGTATATGGGACCTGCCCCTCCTTGTTGAATGGGTCAGTTGTGCTACCTTCCTTCTACAGATGAACTTTTTAGTGACGCATCGAACAGTTTTGTGACGTCTCTTATTGGCTTGCCCTCCCCTTTATTATGGGATCTGCCCGTGTCAAGAGTTCTGCGACTTCTATGTCGCCTGCGCCTGGGACTGTTTTTATATTCTTGTGGCGCCGCTTCAGCCCTTGTCGTATCTTTCATGGATGTCGCTGAATCGAATGTCGCCATCTTCATTGGATATGTCCTCTTCTTTTGTTCTTGACTAGCTTAGTAACTACTAAAACACATATCTTAATATAGCCGAGCGAACTCGCAAAACCGTCTTGGTCAGTTTTGCTGGGTTCGGAACTTTTTGGATGCGGAACAGCCGACATTACGGTTGTAGACCGGCATCCCGATAAAGGGGTTGGTTGCCAGCCAATTGTAATATTATTAGTGGCTAAAGTTGAATCCCCTGCACTACTGTGTCGCGCTGTACTCCTCTCCCAAAACCTAAGGGAACGGGCGCCTATTTTGAATGGCTCGCAAGGCAATTCCTGTTTCTACAATTTGCATGTTAATTTTACAGATCGCACTACCCGTGGCTATCAATGTGTTGGAGTATTGTGACACATTATCGAGTTCCTCAATCTCCTCTATTACTTTTTAGTGGTTCTAAAGAAAGGGAAAACTTTTCCAAATCGTCGGGTCGCGCTTCCAGCTTTCCTGTAGCGCGCTGGATTTGGGACAGATGAAAATTCAAACATTTAAGGATTCCTACGCATTCTTCTTGACTCGTGTTATGGTCATATGAATACGAAATACCCTGGTTATATGCCTCGTAGTCGCTCAGAGCCTTTTTTGCCCAGTTGGACCTAATAAATACACTTATCTTTAGAGAATCCAGCAACATTTTTACTTTTATTTGGGTTGAGCTTTAGTGAAATGAGCTTTCATTCAATATTCTTAAGCATAGAATTAGCTAAGATATAGATAAGTAAAAAAAATTCAAAGGTACCTGCTCGGGTTTGTCCCGGCCGTTTGCACCAGAAATATGAAGGTTTATATACCTTTATTGACGAGACGGGGTGGTCTCGTTGTAGTTGCGATGGAATACAATGTAGTTGAGACGGGGTCTCTAGGTAGTCCGAGACGGGGTGGTCTCGGTGGTGGACATGGTAGAATGCTGACTTAATCTAGGCGTGCCTCTCAATACAGGAGAGGTCACGCATCGAGTATCTAACTATTTACCTATGGGTCATAATCACATGTCTCAATGTTCCCTATGGGTTATACATATCAATCACTCAGTCTTAAAAGGATGCACCGGTAGGTTCTGGTGGCAATCCAGAACACCTGGCTTCATATTTTACTTCGCAAATGAGGCAATACAAGCCAGGTACGGTTCTCCATTTGTGGGCAGTTGGTTCGGCGACGGGGGGGGGGCTGCATTTCACACTTTTGCTTCTTCCCATCGACGTGTCGACTCATCTAGATCTCTTCGTGAGTAGTCAGGTTTCACCATTGTGGTTCCATGAGCATGGTCCAGCTT